CTATAAGGGATAGTGACTTGACATGGCTGTTCCACCACGTCAGAGCTCGGTCCGCGAAGGTGCAAGCGGCAAATTTTACCTTGCTCCCTTCCGGACAGGAGCAGATCTCAAAGATCGATTCCGTCTTCTCGAACCACTGCGAGAGGGAAATGATTCCGCCAGTTCCATTGAAGGCCCTGGGTTTGCAGCTGGTGAAGTCTTTGTACGAGCACTCTCTAGAGTGCACTAGAGCTTCAACTGGGGTGGGAGGCACATTCGTTTCACTCCCGCTAGTACCGGTGGTGGTGAATTGTGCTAGAGCTGTCGTAACAGCCGCATTCACAGCAGCTTGGATAGCTGCTGGGTTGTATTGAGGAGGAGGAGGTGGAATTTGATTACGAGCAGTGTGCCTCGTTACTCGGCGTGGAGGCATCTCGTAGCTATAAGATCATAAAGATGAAGATATTGATAAGAATTTAATAGAGAGTATGATGAGAGTGACTCATGGACTAACTCTCTATAGCCCAACAACACAGATGAAAGCATGATTGAATACTAATTTCTAATAGATTAGATATCTGCCAATAATACTGGAATTATAGATGTAACAAGTTTGGGAAAAATAACCTAGAAGTAGGTCTTACATCACACCAAGATTAAGAAAATTTGACAGAATTAAGACCTAATCGACCGAAAGTTCAAGGTCTTACAATTTACAGGAATTTACAGGGAAAAGTGCTACTTAGAGCATAGATAGGAAGGCTATTCCTTAAACCAAAAGAAAAGGGGTGAGCAGAGCATCCCCTACTGACGTCGGGAACCCCTTAGGCGAACCCTTAGATCATCCATCAGACGCTCCATTTCAAGAAAGCGTCGCTCGTACACTCGCTGGCGCACGCGATGCTCTATGACTTCAGCCCTAGTCTCAGCTAGTGCTTGAAGTAGAGACTCACGGTCTCTTTCAGCTCTCTCACGAGCATCTTCCATCCGACGAATGCGGACAATGTTGATCCCTGTATTGGCATCAAGTTCCGCAATTCGTTGGAGGGTTGTCCTTCCCTGGATTTCGTTACGAGCAACCCTGCGGACCAGGATAGGTAGAACCCTATCCGCTGAGCCTCCTTCGCTCACATTGTAGAAACTTTGGTCTCCATTGAACGGGATGGGTTGGCCTTTTTCCTGACTCTAGGTCTCCAGACTTTCCACCCACAGAGGCGTCGGGCCTTGAAAAGTCGGACGTGGGTTTTTGATTTGGGTTTGGAGCTACCAAGGGTTGATCGTTGACTTCTGGCTCGGAGTCAAAATCCTCCGGGAAGTTCTCAGCAAGGTCATCATCTAGTGGAATTGCAGGTTCCTCTTCAGGCTCAACATCGAGCCATCCTCCGTCGCCTTGGTTGGGAAAGTACGGGTCTCCGGGGATATGGAATCCAGCCATGTTATCTAAGCGAGAAAAGGGGTAAAAGAAATAATTAATAGACGAACTAATTAAGATAATTATAAGATGATCCTTATCAGTTACTCCAACATTTGCGTAGTGCATACCAGTCATATGTAACCAAAACAGGATAGACCTTCGAATAAGTGACCCTAACTCTAAGTCCACAACCAAACAAGGAACAGGAAGTAAAGCAAAGATCACAGATTCTAAGTCTATAACACCCTAGTCACATATAACCTTAGCGTATCCACTCCACAACTATTGACATACTAATAAAGACCCTTTTTAGTTTGCACATAAGTAATTTTTAGTAACACAAAATACTCCTATAGTATTTTAAGTTTATGTTCTGTTCTAATGTTTTCGTTGTAGTAGTGTTTGTAAGTTTTTAGACTTGCTGCAACGCCACAACCATTCCTAGGCACATGCAATCACTTCTCGGAAAGATATAGTTGATCAGGCTATATCATTCCCAGATCTGATTATATGTCCCCAAGCCTACTTGTGATGTCCAACAATCGTAATACTTTTGCTTTGTCCTAGTGACACTGATTTTAGTATGAATGCAGGTATGTATACTTAGGTTAAATATTTTATTATTTAAAAGTATAAACTGTTGGTCAGAGTATTTTAATCCCGTTGTGTTTATAGTTGTATATCTTTTATGGGTTGATATACTCAATTCACTATAAACAATGCTCTGATACCAATCTGTCACAACCCAAAACCGGAACGACGGACACGTTCGGGGGCGGAGGACGTCATGTAGAGTATCACAACAATGCATAATACTAAACAAGCAACAACATTATCCATTGCATTAATAGTAATAATTTTAATACAAGTGTGTTCTGAAGTTTATAAGACACCAAAATGAATACTCAAAATAAAAGATGAGTCTTGAAAGTGCTCCATCTTCTCAAAAACTGGTCATCGGTACCTGTCTACTGGCGACCTGAGAATACAAGTTATTTTGAAAGCGTAGATCAGCATTAAAGCTGGTGAGTTCATAAGTATTTTAGTGTCATTGTTTGTATAAGTTTGAAGAAGTGTTTGTAAATGTTTGATGTAAAAGTTTGTGAGTGTTTGATATAAATGTATGTAAACTTCCTAGAAAATCCTATATTTTCTACTAAAGTAGTCTTCTACCAAGACTCAACTGTTCTCTATGTTTGTTCTTTTGTAAAAGTATGAGTTTTCCCAAAGTATGACTATCATTACCAAAATATAGTTTCTCATTACCGTTTATATGAGAAGATCACAATGTGAATGAATTGGGAAAAATAAAGATGTACTGTAGTTTTATCTAAGTAACTACTAATGTACTAACTACCTTTAAACTTGTTAGTTAATTAAGGTAAAATGTGATATGATTGTAACCATACTCGATTGACCAGTAAAACACGACGTTCGAGAAGTCGAAATGATATGACATTCGTCACCCACAGACCTGCAGGTCCCACTGTAGCTAGCAGCAAGGTGTAGGAGGGTCAGTCCCGTATAGATCTATACACAAATTCACGCTCTCCCTCCAGGAGACTCTGGGTACAAAACATGACACAGCAGTATATGCCGAGCCATGAAGTAGTATCTCACATTAATGTTATAGTATTCTTGTATTTGTATAGCATGTACTAGTGTAGTATTCTCTCCGTCTAGTATGTAGTATGTTCTCTAGTATGTAGTATGTAGTATGTAGTATGTATTGATTCTCATTATAGTATTCTCTATCTGTTTCTCTTTATAGTGAGTATTGTTTCTCGTTATAGTATGTACTGTTTCTCGTTATAGTATGTTCTGACTCATGTATGAACTGGCTTTTAGTATGTTTCATTGTTCTAGTAATAGTATTAGTGAGTTCCTAAACTATACCTATTATAGTTTACTAGCAATATTATTTGTATGTATGAACATGTTTGTATACCTTTGCTACCCAAAGGTATTGAACTGAATGAAGGACTTTTATATCTATACACATACACATAATATATAATTAAGATTCAAACGACCTTCGGACAAACAACTGATACCCTAAGTCCACAACCAAACAAGGAACAGGAAGTAAGGCGAGCTATCAGTCCTAAGTCCTTTCAATCCTACTTATATAACTATATCTATATAGATATGCTTTTGACAAAATATAAGTTTAAAAGAGTTTGATAAAGAGTTTTTGCATATATAAAAGAGTTTGTAAAACTATTTGAAGCAATTCGTTGAAAACACAGTTTGAAGTATAAGAATTCTATCGGTTTGATAGTTATTAATCACATGTGATTGATATAATAACTATTAAGTTTGTACTTGTATTCCCCTCCCCCATAAAAGCATTTAAAATTATTTAAAAGGTAAGTTAAAGGGGTATGAACTCACCTGCAGTGAGTAATACGAATGAAAGATCAGTTTGCAGGATGCTAAGTGTCAAGTGAAGACTTGAGCACAACGAATCCTAATAAGCATATAATGACACATATATGTATATAATTAGTGTTTAAACAACTAATTATTCAAGGAAAGACACCCTAGGACATTAGGAAACACTTAGATTGAAGTGTTAGAAGTACCAAGGGTTGCATATAATGGGTATATGGCCTCACCTTGGAGTGTACGGCCAGAATGGTATGTTTCATGTGTGTGTACGGCCAGAGTGTACGGCCTAAATGGGTGTGTGGCCGCACACTCATGGTGAAACATGCCATTGAGTGATTTAAAGTCTTCTTAAACATCTAGGAAGTTTGCTTTGACAAATGCTTAGCCTTAATGGAAGTTTGTTACCATTTTGGACCTTAAAAGGGGTATGTACGGCCATACAAGAAGTGTACGACCGTACACCCTTGATGATCATGCAAAAATGGTCAAAAGTGTATTCCAAGTCTCTATCTTGCATCCCCTAAGTGTTCTTGATCATGTGCTAGCATAAAACATGAGTTTGAAGCCTAATAGCACTAAACAAAGGGGTGTACGGCCACATGGGGTGTATGCGGCCGCACACTCCTTGATGATCATGGTTTAGACGTTTTCTAAGGCTCATAACTAGCAAATAATAAGTAGAAGAAGGGTACTTACGATATAGAAGCCTTTAGGGGTGTTTGGAGCCCAAGAACTTAGTAGGTGTTCTTGGTGAAACTGAAGAACACTTGAAGATCTAAACAAAAGGAGTAATTTCATGGGTGAAATCACAGATCCTTACTAGATTGTGTAATGAATCAACAAAACAAAGGAAGAAACACTTACAACTTGAAGATCTAGATGAAAAACGGATGATACTTGAGAGAGAAGTTGATTTCTTGGCTTAGGAGTGTGAAAAGAGGTAAATGGAGGCTAAGACTCTCATTTATAAATGAGAGTGTACGGTTGGGATGGGTGTACGGTCGTACACCCATGTGTGCGGCCGCACACGCCTCATAAAGTGGTGTTTGGCTCAATTGAAAGGTGTTAAACTCAAATACACTCATCCGTAGCCTCATACCTTTGTTATACTAGGCTTTGAACACTCAATTTGACTCTAAACAATGCTAGAAGATAGCAAAAACGAGTCTGACTTGATTGAATATGAACAACTGTACAAGATAGAAATTTCGGGTTGTCACACATATTCTAGTACATCTTGAGGTCCTTCTTGGGAGTTCAACGAACCACATGTAGGCTGACCATCTTTAGAGTTCTTCAACTTTGACTCATCCAAATACTCATTGAATAATAAAATCAGTTTCTGCTTTATTATTGCCAATTCAGATTTGTACGTCTCCCCATAAGCTTTCTCATAACCCCATTCAACAATTTGAAACTTATATCGAGGATCCAAAACACCAGCAACAGCCATAATCGTGCTAAACTCATCCCAATATTTCTCAAATTTGGCATACATCCTACTAGCCATTTTTTGCATAAATTTATCGTGGCTTTCCTTTTCTTTATGTAACAACACTCTAACCGTCAAAAACATTTGCAAAATAAAGATTGGTGGTAGGATACAAAGAACCAGAAAATGCACAAGTGACCTCATAGAAGACTTTTAAGAACTTAAAAATCCGTTCAACTCTTCCCCATTCCTCGGTTGTTAGGCAATGTAAGTTATTAGCATCCGTTTTTTGCAAGTGAATAAAAGCTTTTTTATAATATAAAACAGAATCTAACATCATGTAAGTTGAGTTCCATCGTGTTGGAACATCTTGTCTTAAACCCCTCACAGATTGTAGCTCCACATGTGCAACACTCTTTAAAAAGTTTTTCTTCCTAGATTGAGAACCTTTACAGTACTTAACACTCTCTCTAACTTTAGTGACAGCATCATCAACCTCTTTTAAGCCATCCTGCACAATGAGGTTCATAATATGTGCACAATACCTAACATGAAAATAAGCACCTTCACAAACTAAATCAACTTCAGTCTTTAAATAGTCAACCATCGCATCATTAGCAGAAGCATTATCTAAAGTAATGGAAAAAACTTTTTTTTGAAGTCCCCAATCCTTCAAAAGACCAAATACATGATCACTCATAGCAAGACCTGTGTGTGGCGGAGGTAAAAAACTAAAATTTAAAATCATTTTTCGTAAATTCCAAGAACTATCAATGAAATGGGCGGTCAAAGAAAGATAACCATCAGTGGTTATAGATCACCAGCAATCTGATGTCAAACAAATCCTACCTGGGATACAACTCAAAGCCTTTTTCATTTTCATCTTTTCTATGTTATATATATCAAGAATTTCGGCTTTTATTGTATTCCTTGCAACCATTTTAACTTCAGGATTTAGATAAGTAAAACATTTCCTAATACCTTCGTATTCAACAAATTTAAATGGCAGGTGATGCGACATCGACCTCCGGCGGCTCTTCTGGTCTTCTGTTGCGGCGGAGATCTGACATCACAGTGCAAAGTCGTTAAAGTCGTCCCAGGGACTGTGCCCCGGGAGCGGGCTCCGACGGTCAAGTTAGATCAGCTAGAAGATCTGAGATGGTCCTCCATAGCTGGAGAGAACCATCTTGGTGCTAGTGGTGGCTGACGGCGGCGGGTGGCGGCTGAGCCACCCGGCAGGAGTATAGGGCGGCGGCTGAGCCAAGGGGAAGATCTAGTGGTGGTTGAACCACTTGGGAGAGAGTCCTTGGGAAAAGTCCCCCTTCATGGAAGGGGCACTATTCTATTTATAGTGGACAATTAGGTCAAGGGGAATTAGGTCAAGCCTTGGGCGAGCCCAATTCAGGCCCAACCAGCAAGGAGTTGGGCAAAGCCGCCCGAAGGCGCCGGGCGGGGCTGGCGGGCGCGCCCCAGGCAGGGCTGGCGGGCGCGCACCAGGAAGGGATGACAAGGGAGTGCCAGGCGAGGGAGCGCCTGGCCGGGACAGCAGGAGAGTCCCCAGCAGGACTGGCAAGGGAGTCCCCAACAAGGGAACGCCAGGCAGGGCTGACAGGAGCGCGCCAGGCCAGGCTGGCGCGCTAGAGCCGTCTAGGCCATGCCAATGGACCATATATCATCAAGTCTCCCCAGTCTGGTGTTATTGGTACGCGGCCAATGACATCGGACTGGAACTAGTCATCTAAACTGTGCGTCGTCAAGTCCCCCTAGTCTGATGCGATTAGGTTGCTGACAATCTGATCAGACTAGATAAAGCACCAATACAATAAATAATAAAGAAAAATGACCGAACCTCGCCCACGAGAGCCGTGGGGTTGTGCGATGAGCCAAACATTGCTTGAGCTGACTTGATACTCCTTCATTGAGAGGAGTGCGAGCCGATCGGTGCGATGCAACGTAACTATTGCTGCGATCATGCGGACCGAGGCTGCTAAAGAGTTACACGACACTGATGTCGATCGGATGTCGGGTCGAGGTAGCTAAGAAGCGTAACTTTTCCATACAGTCTCTAAGACCGTTATTCGACACGATTGTTGCGGTAGTCATGCGCATATGAAATGTCACCGATATCTAGTCTACATAGTCTGCATTAATAATTGCCTTGAAGGTATTTCTTGCTTGGGCTACACCTAGCTGGATTCCCCCCAGTCTGATGTGGGTAGCGTAGGTAGCCGTGTCAGACTATGTTGTCGAACCAATAAACCGTAAGGTTGTTGACCATAATATAAGTGGCAGAGATTCCGAGAGCAGGGCGATTGCTAGCGAGGGTCACGTAGTAAGACTATTGTCGATAGTCAGACAACATAATTCTTGAGGAACAGGTAGTGAGGCTATAGGTAGAAAACATGCAGTGAGACTGTTGCCGAGAGCCAGGCAGCAGAGGTGCTAAGGGATAAGCGGTGAGGCCAGAGGTATGGGTTGCGCAGCAAGACCATTTCTGAGGGCCGGGAAACAGAGATGTTGTGGGGTACGCGACGAGGCTATAGGTAGGGTTGCACAACGAGACCATTTCTGAGAGCCAGGAAACAGAGATGTCGTGTGGTACGCGGCGAGGCTACAGGTAGGGTTGCACAGCGAGACCATTTCCGAGAGCCAGGAAACAGAGATGCCGTGGGGTACGCGGCGAGGCTACAGGTAGGGTTGCACAGCGAGACCATTTCCGAGAGCCAGGAAACAGAGATGCTGTGGGGTACGCGGCGAGGCTACAGGTAGGGTTACGCAGCAAGACCGTTTCCGTGAGCCAGGAAACAGAGATGTCGTGGGGTAGGGCAGCAGGGCCGATGTCGGGATGACCTCCTTGCTGGAGAATATCCTCACTATAGCGGGATGTGATGCGGATAACACTTCATCGATCGTCCGAGCACCAGAGAGCCGTGATTATTGAGAGATAGGAAACACCGAGATCATGGTGTTAGACGTGGAATAAGCTTGTGATGTGCGACTTATGGTGTGCGACGATGCACGACTTATGAGAATAGCTTGGGCTTAGCAGCCAGCGAACATGGAAATGTCTTGCGGGAAAGCATCGCGTATAACAGATCGGGTTTGGCTGCTAACGATCGTAGATAGATCACGCGAGAGAGCATCGCGTGGAATGGATTGGGCTTGGCTGCCATCGATCGTAGATAAATCACGCGGAAGAGCATCGCGTGGAATGGTCGGGGCATGTTGCTATACTGGAGTCGGGCTGAAAAGCCAGGCGACTCGAGGCAAAGGTACTGAACCTTGCATGCGGAGCTTGCCGCTATAATGGAGTCAGGCTAAAAAGCCAGGCGACTCGAGGCGAGGGTACTGAACCTCGCATGCGGAGCTTGCCGCTATAATGGATTCGGGCTGAGGAGCCAGGCGACTCGCGGCGAGGGTACTGAACCTCGCATGCGGAGCTTGCCGCTGTAATGGGGTCGGGCTGAGAAGCCAGGCGACTCGAGGCGAGGGTACTGAACCTCGCATGCGGAGCTTGCCGCTGTAATGGAGTCGGGCTGAGAAGCCAGGCGACTCGAGGCGAGGGTACTGAACCTCGCATGCGGAGCTTGCCGCTATAATGGAGTCGGGCTGGGAAGCCGGGCGACTCGAGGCGAGGGTACTGAACCTCGCATGCGGAGCTTGCCGCTGTAATGGAGTCGGGCTGGGAAGCCAGGCGACTCGAGGCGAGGGTACTGAACCTCGCATGCGGAGCTTGCCGCTGTGATGCTGTCAGGCTGAGAAGCCAGGCGACTCAAGGCGAGGGTGCTGAACCTCGCATGCGGAGCTTGTCGCTATAATGGAGTCGGGCAAAGAAGCCTGGTGACTCAAAGCAAGGGTGTTGAACCTTGCAGGATTGGGCACAGCGGCCGACAATCTCTGTGTGTGTCCCGGTGATCATTCTGGGGTAAAGTGTAATGGCAACTGATGCTCTACTACATCATTAGTTGTAGTGATGATCGGTGCCTCGCTGTCTTGGCTGACTGCTGACGGCTATGCAGCGAGGCTATTGAGAGCTGGACTGTGGAGCTGCTATCAAGAGCTGATCAGCGGGGCCGTTGAGAACTGAGCATCGGGCTACCTGCGATAGATGAGCAGCTCGACCATTGAGAGCTGGGCAACGAGGCTACCGAGGATTGAACCACAGGGTTGCTCTTTCGATCCGGGATATTAGTGTCACCTCGGGGATGCACTATCACAAAGTATGAGCTCTTTGTGTACTTTAACTATGCCCTTTTGGAATAAAAATCACTTATGCATAATGTCATGCCAACCCTCCCCCCCCCCCCCCCTCCTTTTTCTTTAGAGGAGGCGAAGAAAGGGAAAGATGGATGTATAGCCGCTGAAAATTAAGATACATAGCTGCTGGAAGGAGCTAGGCGACCCAAGTACTAACAAGAATTGGGTAGGGCGGCTGCCGAAAGCTAAGCAGCGCGACTGCTGATGACTGGGCTTTGCGGCTGCTGAGTTGGGCCGCGTGGCTGCTGTGGGCCGAGCTGTGCGACTACTGAGAGCTGGGTAGTAAGATTAGCGAGGGTCGGTTAACATGAAAGGTGAGAGCGGATTAACAAGACTTCTCGGGATTGGTCAACACGGCTGCTGATAGCCGCACAGCGCAGTTGCTGATTGCTATTTTGAAATGATTCACTAGTAGTAGTAGCGTACTACTCTTCTCCCTCCTTTTTTTTTTTGAAAATGCTGAGTGGTCCGGGTTGCTACGTATTTTCTGAAAACGTATCCCGTTGAGCGGAGCTTGCGGTGACTTGTTGACTTTTTTCTTGCTAAGTTTGGGCGCTTTTTATTTTTATATTTTTTGGAATAGCCTCAAATTATGAAGGAATAAACTTGAAGGGAGCCCATAATAAATATACAAGTCCCAGATATCACCCATTTATCTATTAATCGGCCCAGCTGAGAAATAATGGCCCGAGTTATGAGCCCACTTAAGAAATAATGAGCCCGATGTGAAGTTGCTAGATGTGTGTGGGAGCCCAAATGGCATTTGTGGTTGGTAGTCCATAGCAAGTTATAGGCCAAATTATTATTATAATACAAGCGAACCCAAGGCTTATCCCTCTTTTCAATTTCAATTTTGACTTTCGAGAAAAAAGGTCTCCAGCACACCTCGCTCTCAAATCCCAATCTCCATAAACGGAGATGTTGGTCAATGGATATGGAGCTCTTCGACTGCAAGGGTCTACGAGTGATCTTGTAGCAATGGGTGGCGAACGTTGGTGATTTATAAGAAGGAACAGAGGTTAGGTATTATGGCGCGTTAATGGCGGAGACCAGGACTGCGATTTCTCTGGAGGTTCATCAGTTACTATTAATAGAGATCAGAATGAAGCTTGCACCGCGATTTGTTGTTGGGCGAAAATTGCCGCTGGAAGGAGGCGGATGGTCGGCCGGTGGTTTCGGTTCTAGTTGTTGGCGGTGAATCAGGAAGACATAGGGGTTGTAGTCACTTCTGGTTTGCTGTCGACTAGCCTGGGACGGTTACAGGTGAACACTGATGGCTGATAGTCATCGGTTGGTCCGCTGGATGCAGACGATTTGGTGGTACCCCGGCTCTGGTGAGCGTGGATTAATTGAACACATGAGAGGGTGATTGAAGGTCGTCCGGTGGTGATAATGGCGGTGCTTTAGCTGCTGTCACCGGGGGTTACGAGTGGTGTTGGAGTTTGAATCGGCGATGACCGGAGATTGCGATTGGTTGCTGACGATCAGAGGCTGTCTGGTTGCCCAATCGGAGCAAAGAATGTGACAGGCAGCGTTGGATATTGAAGATCAGGGCAAACAGGATCTGTGTTTTGTTGGACATTGCTGACCGGCTGTTAAGGACTGGCGGTCGATTGTTCACAACAGTCGGGTTGCACTTGGTCGGAGGGAGCGGCACGTGGTGTCTCAAAGATTTTTTTGGGTGTCGCTGGGTAGTCGGCTGCCGGAGAGGTTAGCGAGAATTAGAAAAGATCGCTGCTGATTTTCTTTAGGAAGATGATGGTCCAGGGACCCACGTCTGACTTTTGTCTTTTCTTCTAGCTCATTAAGGCTAATGTACAATCGCTGCCTGTACGCACCTAATACATGACCGGTGGGGTCCATCTATCCTTTTTTTTCTTGTTGAAAGGAGATAAATTAATACGTTGACCACACACCTCTCGTTTATCCCCTACCCCTCCTTTTTTTAAATATATATACGCCTCTTTCTACGGATCATTTCAAGAACTCTCTTTTTATCTTTTTCTACTTCTTTTTTACTGAGCAGTAAACTGTAAATTGATAAGATGTGGTGTATTGTCGAGTTTGGTAACTATAATGGGATATATTTTGGTAAAAGGCAACACACCAGTAAATATTTTGGGAATGAAGTTGTATACTTAAAAGATTCAATCTATAAAGATTTTCTGGATATGAAATGGGGTAAAATCTCACAGGATCTTTTTTTTTTCAAGCTATTCAATCAAAAAACCAAAATATGATTGAAAATTTGGTAAAAACTCATAAAACCTCTACTCTTTCTCCTTTTTTTTCTTTTTTTAATTATCTGAGATAAACACTAAATCAGTACAAACAACTTAAGTGAAGTTGTATACAAAAAATCATAAACTAAAAGTGATTTTCCTTGAAATAATGAGCTGATAAGAGGGGTAGAAACTTATAAAAAATTCTTTCCCCCTCAACTTGCTGAAGAAATCACTAAAACGTGAACCAAAAAGATTTTTAAAAAATTTTCGTTGTCCTTCAAGCTTCTACAGGAAACACCAGATAAACAACTTAGCAAAATGTACAAATACTACAGCTGTGCTTACAATTAGTTGTTGCAGGGAGTGAATTTTTTCACAGAAAATCTTAACTAAACAGCAATTTTCTGGTAATATAAACTTGATGAAAGGATAGAAACTTGTAAAAATTTCTTTCCTCCTCCTTCAAGTTGCTGAAAAACCCACTGAAATGTAAAAAACGAAAATAGATTCAAAATATCCTTGTAGGCTTCATAAATGTTCAAATGAGTTAAAAACTCAAAAGATCTTGAGATCTGACCTTCAAGAGGTAAACAGATCTACAGATCTGAACTTGAAAATGAAAATGGATCTAAAGATCTGAACTGGAAAATGGAGTAGATCTTGAGATCTAAATGATGGTTTAACAGATCTTGTCAAGAAGCAAATTGATCTGAACAGATCTTGGTAATAGCCAAACGGATCTGAACAAAATTGATGCCAAACATGAACAGATCTGAGCAAATGATACTAGAAATTAACAGATCTGAAGAAACCTGAGATGAAAGCACATCAGATCTGAGGAAAAACGAGCTTGAAAGCAACTGAGGGTTTTGCTACTTGCTCGGGTCCGGGATGGCGCCAAATGATGCGACATCGACCTCCGGCGGCTCTTCTGGTCTTCTGCTGCGGCGGAGATCTGACATCACAGTGCAAAGTCGTTAGAGCCGTCTCAGGGACTGTGCCCCGGAAGCGGGCTCCGACGGTCAAGTTAGATCAGCTAGAAGATCTGAGATGGTCTTCCATAGCTGGAGAGAACCATTTTGGTGCTGTTGGTGGTGTATGGTGGCTGACGGCGGCGAGTGGCGGCTGAGCCACCCTGCCGGAGTATAAGGCGGCGGTTGAGCCAAGGGGAAGATCTAGTGGTGGCTGAACCACTTGGGAGAGAGTCCTGGGGAAAATTCCCCCTTCATGGAAAGGGCACTATTCTATTTATAGTGGACAATTAGGTCAAGGGGAATTAGGTCAGGTCTTGGGCCAGCCCAATTCAGGCCTAACCAGCAAGGAGTTGGACAAGGCCGCCCGGAGGCGTCGGACAAGGCTGGCGGGCGCGTCCCAGGCAGGACTGGCAGGCGCGCACCAGGAAGGGATGACAAGGGAGTGCCAGGCGAGGGAGCGCCTGGCCGGGACGGCAGAAGAGTCCCCAGCAGGACTGGCAAGGGAGTCCCCAGCAAGGGAATGCCAGGCAGGGCTGGCAGGAGTGCGCCAGGCCAGGCTGGTGTGCTAGAGCAGTCTAGGTCATGCCAATGGACCATATATCATCATTAGGTCATGCCTTACTATGGCAGTGGCTAACATCTCACGGAAGGTATCAGGATTAAACTCAAGGACCCTGCTAGTTATTTAACCACCATGGCCACCAATATCCAAAACCATTTGCCCAATATCCCTAAAACGACTTGGTTTACAACTCCTAAGATGGCGTTTTAAATTTCCAGTACCCATTCTAGTTTCAGCATTATAAACTTGACCACACTTTTTACATTTACAATGCAATTCACGATTTTCATCCGTATCCAGAAATTCAAAATCTTTCCAAACCTCTGATGTAAGTTTTCTGTGACGTTTGACATCCACACCAGTTTTTTGTGGCTTTAATTGCTTGACGGGCTTTGGATTCTTTTCATTGTCCCTTGTTGCAGGTGTAGGAGACTGTACCCCATGGACATCTTCTTCCGATATTTCAACAATATTCGTCACTGAAAAAAGAAAGTGTTACTCTAACACTTAACATAAATCAAATTAACTAGAAAACATCTTAATGGAAGAACTTGAATAGAAATATCTTACTTTTGTTTTCGTTTTCAGATGTCAAATTCTCCATGGAATCGGAGGTAAATTGCTGCCAGAGAGAGTTAGAGAAGGAATATGAAGTGAAATTTGAAGTTTGGTTTTTTGTTTCTTGCGTATAATCAAGTCGTACTATACTATTACTGGTCGTATAGTGTTCCGATGAAGATTGTATCGAGGAGCACATCGAGGAGCTGTGAAAATCCAAACGCCAAAATTGAAACGTCAAAAAGATGAAGTAACAAAAGGATATTAAGAAACCTAATGTGTAAAGCCGTAAGCTTCTAATTAATACGTAATAATTTAAAAAAAAAAAATGTATTCTAACCTTTTGAGTTTTGCCGGCTCTAATTTAGGTTTGCGTATGGGATTCACTGATTTGTCTGTGTGTAAAAAGGCTCCATAGAAACTAAGACCTTTAAATCTTAAATAATTTAATAGGGTTATAGAAATACGGTAAAACATATTATTATATATATATATATATATATATATATATATATATAACTTAAATGGGTTGTCGGGTTGAAAATAGGTCGATAATTTTTACCCAACCCAACCTATTTAATTAAATGGGTTAGACGGGTTGACCCGTATAATTTACACGGGTTGAAAATCTAAACCCAACCCGCTAATTTTGGGTTGGGTTCATGTTGGGTTGGTGGGTTGGGTCGCTTTTTGTCAGCTCTAGTTTTTTCATATATGATGATGGTTTTTTTAAACTTAGATTAATATCATATACCAAGACTAATTAAAAATTCATTATAGAGTATAAACCAAAGTATTTCTCGGTGAAAACGATGATATGTACCTTAACTTTTCAAGGAAAAAATTATTTGCATGAACAATTATGTAGTTGTTGAATACTCGAACAACCAATCAATTGAACATTCATGTACCAACCAATCAATTATTAACAAGAATCTTTGTATTTAAGACATAAATAACAAGTTCTTGGTTTCGAGTGATTGAGTTATTATGTTATGAATTACTTTGTAAGAATAAATAATCAATTCGAATTGGTCTATTTCTCCGTTTCTTACTTGTACTTTTGTACTTTGTAGTTTGTGCTAGCTTCTTGCTAGTTCTGTTTTAATATATCTGTCGTTAAAAAAAAATCTAGTAAAACACCAAATAAACGGAATTAAGTCTTGCTGTCTCATATAGTGAGGAGAAAAAACTTAATTTATAAGGTTGTTGATAGAGTTTGATCAGGATAGATGGAAGTACCAGGGTAATCGGAGCTGGACCGGATTTACTTTAACGGCTTGGTTAGCCGTTCCTCATATTGTCAATATTCAGTCCCAATTCTAAAACCGGTTCGGTCCATTAAAACCCGAATAAGATACCGAAACTGGACCGATATTTTCTTTTTCCTATTTTAGCAACTTATTTATTTTGTTCTGTTTTTTAATATACGTATAACTGACTCGCATGAAGTCAGAATTATTTGATTTTTTCCCACCATGTAATTTGGTTTTTGTAGTTCATTTTAGATTGTAACAACACATATTTTCGTTACATATTGAATTAGCTACAGAACTCGGAAGACAGCATATCAATGGTACGTGTTTATGTTTCAACATTTTTTATATTTTATTCCGTTTTTTGAAATACGTATAATTCACTTGTATGAATTTAAAATTACTTGATGTTTTTTCCAACATATAATTTGGTGTATGTAGTTTATTTTAGAATGTAAAAACACCTATTTTCATTGCAAATCAAGAAACCAGTTTCATTATAAAAAAAATAACCAAAAAACCGACACCGATATCGGCACCGACGGTCCGAATCTCGGTATATATAATTTGACAAATTCAGTTCCGGTTAAAAACTGGTTCAATTCTAGTCCGGTTCAAAATTCACCCATAATAAATTGATAATATTAAATTTTTAGTGTTTGATAGATGGTTTTTATATGTATAATAAAGACATTATTATAAAAAACTACTCAAATAAGTCAATAATTAAACAGTAAATTTATCAAAATTTGATTATTTAAATCAATAAATGTTTACAAAATCTTTTTATTCAAACATTTAAAACTGTTTATTATCACTATCAAACATTTAAATAAACAATCTCAAACATACCTAAAAATTATGTGAGATGTGGTACATAACGAATTTTATTCTAAAATAAATTTTATTAAGCGATTTTGTCATTGTAGCTTGTGTTGTTCTTCCTAAACGGAATTTTATGACCAAAATCGATCTTTATATATAGGATGAAATGATCTTACGTTGTTACGATTAAACTTAGGGAATAAGTAAATTGTTCATCGTGAGATGCTTTTTAAGTTATATTTTAATAAATACCGTTGGCAATCAAATTTGTAGAAAAAGAAAGAATTATGTGATTTAAGTAATGTCGTAATCAAATGACCTTCTTTAAAGAATTTTCCGATCACTTGCCACCATGCACGCGTCTCTTTCTGTCTTTATCTCCTATAAAATCGTCTCTTACACCCTGTTCACAGTCTCATTTCACTTTCTCTCTCTAAATATTCAATCATTTTTCATTCTCTCTCTATACACACTTTTCGATTCTCCTCTTTCGTTGTCAATTGTCATATCAAAGATCCGTCGAAGACAAACGAGAATGTATCGTTGGAGTCATAAATCAGTCAAAGAAGAGAAACCGAGAAAAAACACACCAAACCCATCTTTTTCGTCAAGCCTTCTTGATGAAATCTACCGTTCCATGGACGGAGACGACGTCAAATCCGGCCGAGAAGAGAAAACTTCAAAGAAACAAAGCATCAGCAGCGGCGGTGGCGGTGGCGGCAGACCAAAAGCGAGCAGTGCAGTGGAGGACGAAGCAGTGGCGAGTCTCCGGCGAGCTTTTTTGGTAGAGAAATGGATGAATATGAAACAAAACGCAAAAAACATAAACACTCGAACGAGGCCTTCATCAATACCGGACGTCTACCGGAAACCAGTCATTGATAACGACCCATTTTTCTTCAGTTCGGGGACGAGCTCTTCTGATTCGAGCTATGGAATATGGTTCTCTGAACCAGAAAGTTTCCATGGCTCCAGGTTTCATAAGCCTTCTTCTTTTGGACCTTTCAGTAGGCCAGAATCCGTAAAAACGAACGGGTTTTCGAAAAAGCATCAGCAGATGGAGTTCTACTACTGTTCGGATGATCATCAAACAAATGGAATCGATCGTGGGGCTTTAATCAAGTCAAAAGCTCGAGCATTGAAGATTTACGCGAACCTGAAGAAGATAAAGCAACCAATCTCACCTGGAGGTCGACTCACGACGTTCCTCACATCTCTTTTCGCAAATGGCCAAGTCAAGAACCCGAAAGATTTGAATCCACCATGTTTCGATCATAAAAAGAGTGAAAGAACATCAAAATCGACACATGGGTCTACATGTTCATCGGCTTCTTCATTTACAAGGTCATGTTTGAGTAAAAATTCTCCAAGATCAAGAGAGAAGAAGCTCAACAATGGAATCCGAAGAACTGTTAGATTTTACCCGGTGAGTGTAATCATCGACGAAGATTCACGTCCCTGTGGCCAAAAGTTCATTTATGATACACAAGATTTAACGAAGGATGAAGATTACAACTCTTATGATGATGATGATGATACCAAAAGTGATTCAAGTTCAGATTTGTTCGAACTTGATCACTTGTCAGCTTTGAAGGAGTGTGAAGAGCTTCCTGTATATGAAACGACACATTTTGGAAAGAATCGTGCAATTGCTAATGGGTTAATTTGCTAATTTGTTCGACAAATTTATGAAATTGAATCACACATTTGTTTTTTGAGGTTTGAATATGTTTCATATACTTTTGTGCAATGATTACATGGAAGAAGTAAATATAAATAATATGATACTATAAAATATAAAGTTAAGGGAAGGAAGAAACATGTGGTAATGTGGTGCTTTTGAGGCAATTCTTAAAATGGTAAGAGTTGTACATATTTGAAATAAAATGATAAAAAGATGCGAAAAGACAAATTCTTGAAAAGAAGGGAGGGATGTTTCATGTTTGTTTCTTTTGGTTTTGGTTGATCCCAAGTTGATGGTTGGATGGATGGATTGGAGAGTGACAGTTTGTGAAATGATAAAGTAAAAGGGCTGTATTGGGAAAAGGGAAGAAAGGAGGGGTGGAAGTGAAAATTAAGATACCCATATTGGGATTAGAAGCAACGATAAAGAGGATGATGATTGATGAATGGATGGATTGAAGAGTGACAGTTTGTGAGTTAAAAAGGTAAAAGAAGGGGGTATATTTCGAAAGGGAAAGAAAGGAGGGGTGGAAGTGAAAATTAAGATACTCATTTCGGGATTAGAAGCAAAGATAAAGATGATGAATGGATGGAATGGAGATTGGAGAGTGACAGTTTGCGAGTTAAAAAAAAAAGTAAAAGAAGGGGGGATTTTGGGAAAAGGAAAAGAAAGTAGGGGAGAAAGTGAAAATTAAGATTCTAAGATCGGAATTAGAAGGAAAGATAAAGAGACAGGAGAACCGCATCTTTTGCTTTCCTTGGTTCAAACAACTATGACCATAGGAAAACAAAAGTTAAGTATGTTTTGTATGTACCAAGTTAAAACCGATGAAATTAAAAAAATATATATATTATTATTAAGAGATATTAATAAATGGGAAATTGAGTAATCAAACTCAACGAGTATTTTAATGATAATAATCATTTTTATTTTGTAACATGACCACTTTCTCCGAAATAGGTCATTACGGAGGAAGGCAATTCATTTCGGAGCTCTGTTTGACAACTTCCTCCGAAATAGAGCATTTTGGAGTATGTGTAATCATTTCGGAGTTCTGGTCTGAAATAAGAATCTTCGTACATTCCGGGCTGTCATTCCGAACTACGACGTCCAAAACAGGAATGTATGTATGATTGTGAGTCTTGTTATGTGAAATGACAATACGAAATCACGGACACATGTTCCAGACAGTTATTTCGGATTAGAAATTCAATCTTCATCTCCTACATATACGTGTATATGCCCGCATGTACTTAGACACTTACTTCAGATAATTCGTAGTTATCTCTTATATGAAAATGAGTTTATCAGAAAGTGAACACGAAGAAAGCTTTAACAACCTCCATGTTTACCTACACAGCCTTAGGCGAACCAACATGCATACTTACACTCACATCAAAACTGATGTGTTGGATCGTTTCCAAGCTTGTTTTGTGGCTATTGGATGTGTGGTATATTTTTTTCCACTTTTCTATTGTTTCTTTCAAATTGATAATGTTTCTACATCTAAACTAATTGGTTAGTGTTCCCAAAAATATACAACTCCATGCATTCATAGGCTGCTTGCTGTCTGTCATCTTCACAGGTATTGTCTGTCTAAGTGGGGACTATCTAAACACAGTATTCGTAGTTGTTGCTATGGACGGGAACAAACAGAACCATCTTATAGCATTTGGTATGGCCGTGGAAAATAATCTCTATTGTTGTACTTG